GTGCTTAGTTGCTATGGTGTGCGTGTGGATAAGTAAGAGGGAGAGGCGATGTTTGGTCCGCACTGATATTAACCGTAAACGTTCACTGTCACCCAACCACTTCAATTTATCATGCTTTAAACAAAAGAATACACTTATCTCCTTCCATAAACATTGCACGTCTTGCCGCCGAGTACAAAGATCTCGAGCAAGTGCCGTGGCAAATATGACGTGGCGCTGTTAGACACGTAGTCAATGATTTGCTGTGTCCGCGGTGACGCATGTACTCGGAGCGTGACTGACGGGGGAGAAAGACTCGCGTATCAGAGCACGGCCCGGGCCTCTATCCGGCGGATGTGTCACTTCCCCGCGGGAGGTACCGCTACGCAAATCGCGCTTACCTCCGCACGGGGCCCCGCTTCGCTTCGCTGGCCGCACGCGCGCGCCGATGAGCGATGAGTCGGCGGGTTTAATGCCCCTGCTCCTTACACTCGATTAACGCGCCCTTGCGACGCCTCGGCACCGCGCCTTGACTGGCGAAACAGCTGGAAACATGTTTGGAACAAAGATTTTTGCGGAACAACAGATCAAAATGTTCTATGTTTACAGAGCAATTCAAGTTGGTTTGAAGTGGGTTCTTAATTAATTTTATCCGACTGACAGTACGCCGAAGATATACTGAATCAAAGACATCAAATCTTCTATCAAGACCATTTCAAAACGCATTATATTTTTCCCTAGAGTTAACACGTTTTAATCGGTTGCCCCTTGTTTTAAATGTATTTTTATGTTGTTTCCTTGTTGAGAAATTTTAACACTTTCGTTTTGTCCCTAAGAGAGTCAGAGAATTGAATACGAATTTTGGGATGATTATTGTTTATTAAAATTTCCCTGCCTAGCTTTTTTTCGTAATTTGTTCCCATCCATTTTCAACTCATCCGTTTTTACAAAATGCGCAGTCCATATTGCAAAAACTAGAATGCAAGTGGAGGTGGGAGAAGGATCGGCGTCGGTGTTGAGGTTTTGCTCGCCCCACCGGTTGCACTCGGGTGTATCGGGCACACGGGCAAACCAGCCGACCGACCTTGTCCGACTGTTCGAGCCGGGCCGGGGACAAAACAGTTTGCTTCTGTGGAGACGCAGATCAGAAAAGCGATGTTTTGATTGATTGATGTTTCCGAGCACAACAGTTACAATCATTACTCCCGTTAGTGCAGTGCGTGTTTTTGCGTGAACTGGAGGAATTTCTGGAGGTGTAATAGAGAGACCCGACGCCGATCTGCACGTCGATTTGCATTTCCCCTTCAGATCGCTCCTCAAGAGGTATACAGCCTCAGTCCGGGCAAGTTCTGAGCTCCCGACATGTGTGGTAATACAGAACATGTAACTGCGTAAGTAATAGGTGAACGAAGAACAAGGAAGAGGAAGGAAAGGTCGCGTACTGCCCCTGGTCCGTTTGATAGGGTACTACTCCGGCAATCGCCTGGTGTTGATCGGAGAAACCATCGCGATCAGAGAAGCCTCCCGCCAGAATTCTCCTCCAGGCAGCGGCTGGATGCCATCTCGCTACGCAGCTACTGGCAAAAACACACAACCGTCGGATCTTGAACTCCCGGTCAGAATCGTTGCAGTGTCAGCGGGGATGCTTATTTTGAGCTAAACAACCGGTATTCTCAGGCATTCTCTGGTATTCGAACGTTTTAACGCGTACGGGAATCTCAGACTGCAGGGATTTCACAACCAGCTGATAGATACATTACATGAGAGATGGCCAACTGGCGGCCGGAGACCTTTTTTAATGCGGCCCACAACAAGTTACAAAATATTAGCTTTATATTTTATTATTCAAACAAATATGCAGATATTGTCATAAACTTGTTTAGGTTGCCAAGCAATGTATAAATCCGTTAATCCCTTATTTCTGTGTTTTGTTTAGGAGTGAATCGGTTTATTTGAAAATGAGTAAAAATCAAAAAGTGTTGCAGGACAAGTGGGAAACCGAATATATTTTATTAAATAACGAGGGCAATAAACCGCAGTGGTTAGTGTGTTTTCTTGTACCCGCCGTCACAAACATTAACCCCCTACCGTCACACACTATCATGCAGTTTACGATTACACACTAAGCACGGGACACTATTGTATCGGATTTGAAGAAAATGGTCAGTGCACAGAAAGTTTTTTTAATAAATCAACAATCTTTGGCAAAAAACTCACCTTTAGCTTCGTATGTTGTGAATGCAGAGATAACTAAGGCTAAAAAATGTTCTGATGGCGAGCAACTACTTCCAGTCTAATTGACTTGGATTCGCTGTTGAATGATTTTGCCCGCCCACAGTGCTCTCACTAACATTAACTATTTAAGAAATACCTTCGTTAATGATAAGCACAGAAAGCTATTAGTAGCATTAGGTACGAAAGCTATTATTTGTGTATTTTTTATTTTGATATTGTAACCTCATATTTTTTGTTGGCATATGCCTTATAGTATGAATTTTGTTTTTTGTGTCAACAATATAATTAAAAAAGAAACTAAAATATACTGATTATATTTATTAGTATCTTTTCTTTAATTTATTATTGAACTTAACATAAACATGTCGATATTGGTATCTTGCATAACTTTTACAGATTCTTATATATTTTGTTTATGGATGTATGCTCATTTATTGGAATTACTTGTGCGACCCTCAATTTTTTTTAAAGTGGCCCTTGGGGAGAAGAAATATGTCTATCCCTACACTAGAGTGTCTTACCGAGGTCAGGGTCACACACTAATGCTGAGATCTCGAAAATTATTATCTATCCACGCTCTCCTGAAATGTACATGGCCATCCTCGCGTCACTTGATGCAATTTTTTCTTTGTTTAAGGAAATATTGCAAACCACTAACCTAATTATAAATTGAAAATTACATCTTTCAAATACTAATATAGAGTTAATGTGTCTCAGATATACATTTTTCATAGTAATCATATTTTACATAAGTGAACTATTGAGTAATATATTTTTATTTTAGATCATTTACATAATAAATCTTCATAAAAATATCAGAATAACCAATTCTGAAGCTACGTGAGGAGAGTTCTGTGAAAGATATTTATCCATTTCTACAAAATAAATATGTTGATTCTTGTTCGCAATCATAGATCCAAGTTACAATATCAGTATCAGACTCCATTTATCTTTCTCCGTTATGTTTGTTCAGGGTTATATTGTCATGCATAAGTATATGTAAACATACACCTGAATTAATTTGCTGACGACCATAGCCATACGTAATAAAACATGTTATATCCATAAATATGATAAATCCCTGAATTTCCCCTTTTTCGACTGACACTTTGGGTAATTGATACACGACATTTCGGAGAGAAGTTCTTCAAACTATTTGGCAACACTAAAAATGATTCAACATAAAATCAATTGTATGTATTAATTTTATCATAGAATATAATTTTATTCTCCAAGTGTTTTTATTTATTTACTGATAAAATGCAAGCGAAAAGTTTGACGGAGAAGGGAGTCCAGAAATATCGTTGCCCACTACCCGTATTGCTAAGCATGCATATGTTGACGACTGAAGGCTATTGGAAATAAATGTTAATTAATGTAGTATATGATGGTAAATATCGCATTACAAATATCAATAGAATATACGCAATGTTGTGAGAATTTCTGAACATTCTCTCTAGTCAAATTCATGAAAATTAAACAAAATATTGTGAAATGCCTCTTCAATTTCAGTTTTTGAATTTATATTCACTTATTGTTGGTAATAATCAAATTGAATTTAGCTTGTGTGTGTAATATAGAGATTAAAGATACCATCATTGTTTATCTCACGATGACCTTTAAGCCATGACCAAACATTAACAAAAAGGAAAACATTAAAATGTGTGATGATCATCAATGGTAAAAGTATTTATAAACTTCATTAAGAATTTTTTTTTTTTTTTTTGGAATCTATTCTATTGCTCAATTGATCACTTTTATTAATTTCACGTAAGCGCGAGAACTATCGTAGCAGTCATTAAAATTGAGCATCAGTTGACGTACCTTCGCCAGAGCTGACTCTATATTTCTCAACACTTTGCCTTCATGGAAGTTCGATTTATGCTAGCACTCTGTGGCATTTCACCGCATCGAGGAATCAGGGATGTTTGAAGGAGGTGCTGCCAGAAGGAGCTTCGCCAAATCATGCGAAAACAGCTACAACGTTGCCAAAGGCGCGCTGTGATCCTGTTATTTTCGCGTGTCATGTCCCACAACCGTGCCGAACCACGCCCCCGTATTGAAGTCCTAGAAAGAGGTTCATACACAAGAGTATCACATTCTTCCTCTGTATCTATTAGATAACTGTTAAGAGCCACTTGATACAGACGAATGTCATTTACCTCGACTTCGTCGTTGAAGATTTTACCTTTAGAAGTGAAATTTAGAGTTCTTCCAGTTAGATGTTTGTGATATATTAGATGACCATGATGAATTCTCACAATTATTTCCCGAAATACAGTAAAACGATTAATAAATATGCAAAAATCTTAATTTTGTGTGACTTTATTTATTTTTCTTAAAATTATACTCTCAATTTCTTAAGGAATAAAAGAGTAAAAGAGAATACAGGGTAACGTTAACACGTGCTTTTACTTCCGATCACATTTCATCCTAACCTTCAGATCCAAGGATTAAGACAACTAAAGTTATTTCGCAACATTAATGTTACAATGTTGTCTATTAACTAACGTTATGCATATTGCGTGTAAAATAATCCTCATATAATACATGTACGTTACTTTACAACGCATTGCCAGATGACATTAAACAACTAAAGTCGGTACACAAATTTAAGTTAAAAGTAAAACTTTTCTGCTGCATAACTTTTTCTATACTATTAGAGACTATCAAAAAGGAAAATTATGTTTATTTTAGCAAAAGAGTGATATATAATGAATTAGTTTACATTTGTTTTGTATATTTCTTTTTAAAAAATACCTCATATGCTTGTAACAAATAATGTACTTAGCTTCCAGGTCCATTACCCTCCTCTCGATCAGGTTATTGTCCAGTTTCCCTGATCCATTGAGCTGAGATGGCCCTTGTTTTGCTTCTGGACGTAAAAGTAGCTTCACTATGCGAACGTTTTGTTGAACTCTCCTTTTGCTTGTAATGGCAGTAATAGAGGTAAGGGCGAGTTACTATTTTGTTAGCAATGCAGTAAAATAATATCTGGAATTCGTTTACTGATGGAAATAAGTTTTCTATAACTCGGGAACGAAAATGTCTAGTTTTTTTCAGTTATTGCTAATATAGCTATTTTTTAATTTTTTAAAAAATTTATTTATTTATCTTTAACTTTTACTCATATTTCAACTATTATAATTAAAATAATGGGAAGGGATTCTGGAACTCAAGAAAACATGCGCAGATGATCTTCACCCCTATACGTCAGATACAATTTTTACTGTTTTTTTACTAAATAAATCTAAAAAATCTAAAGAAAGTAAGTATATAATCACACCAATGGTTTTTGAGGTACAAGGAATTTTTTTTTTGCTGTTAACGTGACTTTTAAAAAAAATAGGGGTAGATGTCTTTTGTAATGAAAGTTCTTATTAACAGAGTAATTTAAACTGAAAATCTTGACATACTATTTTTCTCGTTTTTCTCCTAATCAAGATACGTAATATATGTTAAATGTTCGTATGTTATAATATTCTCCGTCACACCTCTGAACCTTGTGAATGATGTTGCTATCTAGGCAATAAGAATTCTGCTACTAGTGACAAATGTTTTTCGATAATTTCTTCATATCTCGATGATGATGCTGAAAGCTGTCAAGAAGTGTTGTTTTCTGATTCTACGTTGACACGAGAAGAACTTTCAGATTAGTGAAGAATGCAGTATCTTGATTTCAGAAGGTCAATATCTGTTTCTAACACAGATATCTAAATGTACGTTTTTGTGCCAAATATGACCTGCCATCTAGTGAATACAAGAAACTGGATTTCGTAAATGTAAGATTCATGAATACGAATGGCCGTTTAGTGTATTCTTTTGAAATACGTTTTTGTAGTTTAAGCAGCATCGGCAATGGCATTTCGGTGTTGCGAAGTTTTACGGACGTCCCGTTTTCAAAGGAAACTTGTCTGTATCTTGCTGTTCAAGGAAGGGGAGACTAAGTAAGTCATTCTCACTCGTAATGAATGCTTCATTCTGAATGATGGATTACATTATGTTCCTACACGTTATTGAGATCCGTCAAAGATTCGTACACTTCCAAAATAAAGAAAGTAGAGTACATTCAGTATTTAATAAACGCATACGCGTTCCCCCAACGCGCGAAGTGACTCCGGGCGTAGCGCGCTCGCTTTGCATTTGGGAGGCCCGGGTCAATCCCCGTGCCGGCCATCCTGACCGCGGTTTTCGCGGTTTCCCTCGGTCATCTAGGCGATTGCTGGGATGGTTCTACTGAAAGAGGTCACGACTGGGAAACCGGCGTCGCTAGCCGAATTCGTTAACCACGTGAAGTCACGAAGGTTAAGCGAATTCAAGACATCGCGGTTTCCTGGTTGGGTGACCGACTAGAAACGTCGGGATCTAACAGCGCCGAGGCCAATATATATATATATATATATATATATATATATATATATATATATATATATATAATGTCTAAATTCAAATACACCTTCCTCTGCAGGCGTCAATGCGATTTCCGGTCAATCGATATTGAATTTGTGGTGATAGTTGTCGGCACGTTTGCTCAGAGTTCTCCCGTTCCCCAACCACTCTACCATGTCTTCACCTTCACTCGCATCATTACTGTTATGCACGCATTAGATCTTCGCTCAAGGACCGAAAAATGTGCTTGAAAAGACCCCAAAATTAAATAAATAAATAAATAATAATAAATAATAATAAATAAATAAAATGTAATATTTAAAAGAATAAGTTGTATAATTGTTGATATTCTAGTATGATATGAAATTCCAATAAATAGCTTCTATCAAAATAAGGTGCTTAAATCTTTAAGAATGTATATTTTCCACGTATCTCTTGCCGGAAGGCCCGAGTTTCACAATATTTTTTACCTCTATGAATACATATTTGATAAGGGTGCTTAGTTTTATTATTGAGTACACGTTTATGGTAGTGAAGTTTAATTTTATTGGAAGCAATCCGAATTTACAATGCAATAGTATACAATTTGTTGAACGAGAAGTGTTTATATTTATTATTATTTTATTTTTTTATTAATTAATTTATTTATTTTAATTATTATTGAAGCCACAATTACTTATTATTAGAAAATCGAGATAATCGATTATTCCCCTCTCTTGTTAATGACTCGGGTACCAATATTGTTAAACGGTCTGATGAAATGGGATACCCTTAATTTTTTTGTTTTGATAATGAACTCCAGGCGTTGAAAGTCAGCATTAGAGTCGGATGTTGTGATCAGAAATCTTTTCTTGGTAATTAGCATCGATTACCGTGCAATGACGAACGGGGAAGTCTCGCAAAGCCTTGTGAATGCGAGTACGTCGGAATCTCCGAGCAAATCGATCAATAAGAGCATTCCGACCACATGAGGTCAGCGCAGGCGGCGGGAGCCCGAAGCTGACGCAATGGGACTCGAATCTCGCTTCATGACGAGAAAAGGGAAGCGCAACTACCACAGCAGGAAGTGCATTGAACTCTCTCGACTGTAGAATCGGATTGCATCACTTGGGTTGCAGGTCCCTTCGCCACTCGATTGCACCACTTCTTGCAGATTTATTCGTCATGCAACACGTGTACTTCCCTGGTCGAGTCTTTTTGGCTTTATTTTTATTTTTTATTTTTGCGAAGCATGAGTTGAGGTACCTTTCACTCATCAAAGTACAGAATACGTGGTCGAATTACATACATGACAATAACATGACCTTTAATTTCAAGATATTCCGTAACCACTTTTCCAAAAACTCTTATATGATAAACTTTTCCAAAATTGTAAAAGCGTTGCTTGAGAGGGAAACTTCGAATTATTTGTCTTTAAATGCATTGTCAGTAAATCACTATTACAGTGTATGCGCCCTCAAACAGTACGATATTGTCAGAGTTTTGATCCTAAATTCAAATAATTCAAGAATGATGAATAAGAATTTAGCAGTTCCCATCTATGCAAAAACAAATAATTAATTAACCAAATTACTCTTAACAAAAAATTAACTTCTCAATAAAAAAGAGTAGTTTTTGAAAGTGAATCTGTGTTGATTTCCATCAGACTAATTAACATTTGGAAATGCTGTCGTCTTTGGCAATTAATTTGAGTAGGAATTCGCCAAACTCTTTACATTGAACTCTTACCCGAATATGATTAACGATAATTGCTACAAAAACTCGAAAATGACTACAGATGTATTTTTATTAAAATATCTTTCAATAAACGGATCATTAAACAATTCGTATAATTTAGTTTTAATATTGGACTTACGACACCTCACAATAAGTGTTTCATAAAATGTTGTGACTTACATCACATGTACGCTAGACCACTGCCTTAAGAAACTGCTCGTTTCCTTCCTAGGATCATCCTGTTTCGTGCCAAATGTTTACGATATCATTGCATCACATTACAGTATAACATACTAATGAATACAGGATATCTTTAGGAGTTGTGGCAATGAGTGCATGGTATCTCTAGCATGTTGTGATCGCTTTAACTAACAGTCTTATTATCATTTGAATGATGAGAAACATTCAAAATCTTAAATGTCATTACATTTGCCGCCGCAGTTTTTATTTATTTTTATTTTATGTATTTTTATATACATTCTGTTACATCCGAAATACATACATAGGCAAATCTTTTAGCAAAGTTTTACAATAGCACGTGAAGAAACTGGGCATTCGCAGTCCTTTATGGATTCATTTTCTGAAGTAAACGAATAAATAGTATACATTCTATAACATAAGACAATACCTGAAGACAAAAACACAAGAAACTTCAACTTTTAACCAATATATAAATACATTTACAGTTTTGGGAATCATGAACCTAATTGTATTTAAACAAAATGAAATAATTTCAAACTGTTTTAGTTAATTACAGTATAATTTTCTACTGCAGAACAGTGTAGATCTTGTACTTAATGATCGAACCTGTATAAATCCAGAGGATGATTTCTACTCAAAATTCTGGCTATTGGTCTTGGCTTTTGTCGAGTACGTTTAGTGCAAGGTAATTTGGAATATTTTCTAGGCGTTTATAATATTTCTAGAAACTGAATTGAACTTCTTGGTATATTGTGGTAATAAACGTAAGGCATTGTGCAATATTTTATTTGAAACAAACCTCAAGGCATTGTCAAGCAATCTAAAAGTTTGTTGTTTTTTTTTATTGAAATCGCTGCAGTATTTCTGGGTTTGGGTTGACCGCAGTACCCTAAAGTTGTATTCCGTAGGTCCAGACGGGTTTTAATATTGATTTATAAATCAATAATTTATAAGTCAATGAAAGAGGCGAGTTTTTGACTAGAAGTCAATAAGTATTGCTTGATTTTCATTTCGAGAGTTTTTTTCTTTTTGACAAATGCCTTCCAAGTATTTTTTTGATCGAGAAAGAAACTGAGAAATACGAACTCGAAATTTGTATACTCTAAAAAGATAAAATATACAACCGTGACGTTGAGGGATACAATAAAATAAAAAGTAGATAATGGCTGTAGTGTAAATCCAAAATTATTTAATTTTAAATTTAATAGAGTTATGAAGAACTGATAATTGATATTAAAACTTAAAATTTCAAAGAATTTGCTGTACTTGTGATTTTAAGATCTGAAGTCTTGGAGTGCATTGTAGTAAGTACTACATACTACTTTTGCTTCTTTAATTATTTCCGAGTTTCTATATGATGCATATGATCTTCGGAAGTTGAGTAAAACTTCATTCATGTGAAAACAGCACACATATGCACAAAAATGCACTTTTGCACACCCAAAGTCAAAGAAGTTCAGTCAGCTCACTGAAAAGTGCCAGTTTGCCTTGGTGTAACGACAAAGCGAAAATGAAAGAATCCCTATGTGATGAAATTAAAACGACACACGTCCCCGAACATTCAAGAAGAAAGACGTCTCGTTTACTCCCTTGCGTCAGCAAATGACAAAGTTCCGAAAAATATTGCGAAGGCTGTTGGGATGCGGGCAGTAGAAAGCGAAAGCGCCGGCAAGGATGGGGCAGCGATCTAAGCGCTTTTATTGTGCACAGAATACGGCCAAATCTCGCAACATTGATGTTTGTTGGACCTAGGAAACTTTGAGTGCGTAAATAACTTTGATGAAAATACTTGATTACGGGGCGTCGTCAACGAACTCTCATGCAAATGCTGCTAAATCTATTTATGTAGAAAATCGAAAGCTTCTCGTGGTCTGCACCAGCAAAAATGCTGTCCATGAAATTGTTTTTCAGCAAGCGATTCCTAATACTGTTTTATTTTATTATTCTTTGTGGTTGTCTCTCTTGCGGCACGGCCTCCGCATTCCGTCCGTGGCGCGCCACGCGGCAGCCCCTGAAGATGGGAGAGGCACGGATTGTTTTGTTCCGTGCTGAATGGCCGGCGCCTACGCAACGTCGTAAACGAGCTCGGAGTGCGTAGTTCGCCTTTACGTAACGCCTCCAGGGGCGCGCCGCGCCGCGCGAGGGCGGCTTATCTCGGCCGCACAGAGCGGCGCGCGACGGAGAACTGATAAGCGGAGCGACGAAGAGCGTGGGAGGCCGAGGAACGGGCGGCGTGGGCGCGTTACGCGACGGTAGGCGGCGGGAAGGGGTCAGATGTCACAACATGGCCCGAATAGTGGTTGTGGCTGCGTTCTTTCAAATTTGTTTGACCTACTGGCCTGGAACGAAAGAATATCCAAAGATCTCTTTGACAGAAACAAAAAGATACAGAAACAAAGCGTTTGTCTTTTCTATCTAACAATCTTATTATCAGCAACCTTCAACAGGAAAAAAGAGTAAAGAAGATAACAGGCTTCCAATCAATTTGTAATCCATGTATTAATGTTTCTTTTGATATTATCAGTACTTTTTTATGACAACTACGTAGAATTTAAATGATCAAATGTTTTCTTATTATCCTTTTTTTGTTTCTATAGCAACGTATTATTATTTTCATGCTCCCAACAGTATGCGGAAATGAATCCCTGTGATTTACTTATCGACCAGAGCAGCCGTCCGCTAGAATTCTTCTCCAGAATGCGCATGCGCAGTACAGGTTTTTTTTTCAAAGTGTTCGAGCTAGTGTCGGAAATTCTGCCACCATCGGGACTAGAACTTGGACTCTCCGGGTCAGAGGCACTGCAACGAAATCAGTAGATACCTCTCCCGGTTAGTAAGATACATCAGTGTTATGAATAGAAGATATGAAATGTGAAGAAATGTCAAAACGAATGGCTCCCAAAGTGATTAAGCAACGGCCTTTGGGCGCATAAGATTAATGTTGGAAAAACTACCTGTCAGTTCATTCAGAATATTTAGAAAAAAAAAATATACTTGCATTATTTTTTGTATCCTCGAGGTGGGTACTACTGTTTAACTTCCCATCGTTTCTCCGATCAATACTAGGCAATGCCGGAGGAGTACCCTAAGAAATGGGCCACTGACCGCGCGCGATCTTTTCTTCCTCTTCGTTGCCCTATCGTAACCTCTTATTCACAACTTTACGTCATACCCCCTTAAACGTCATTGCATTAAATCACGTGGTCAGGCATAGCATAGGTGCGCGCTGCATAAGACGACAGGGGAGCAACTACATTTCTGGGTCACTCTGGGCCCCCTTAATTTATTAAACTATTTACACCCATATGGCACATTCTACTGGGAAATAAATAAAATTAGTTACCAGATGGTTTCGACAGCCTCTTCCCTAAATGTCGCGGATCAATTTCATTTCCTAGCTTTAAAAACCGTCTGAGATGGCTCAAGGCATCGATATTCACTGGGGTGCATCTGACCAGGAGGACCTAGGGTACGAGTCACAACGGTGCTAGGATTTTCGACACTATCTAATAAGCTTTGTTCGAATTCAGCCACCGTACGGAGGAGAATTCCTGCGGCCTTCTGCTCTGATCGGTAGTTTTTCGAGGTTTCTCCGATCAAGCAAATGCCAGAGCAGTAAACTAACAATCGGGCCTCGGACAATGTACAAATTTACCTTCCTCTTCCTTGTCATAGCTTCACCCTTTCTTACACTCACCCGCTGTCGGGAGAGCAGTCGTGAGCTTAGAGCTTGCCCCGGTGAGGTGGTGCCCCGCTGGTGGGAGATACCTGGATAGGGAAACGATACCTGCCCATGTGAGAAATGAAATGTTGAATTTCGAATGGCGCCGGGGCTGAGGGAAGCCTCGCCGCGACCGGTCCGCCCCCCTGCGCTCCCGCCCACAAGGCAAAGCGAAGCGTGGCGGAGCGCGTGACGGGGGAAGAGGGAGGAGGCGGGGACTGGCGCCGATGCCGGAGCGCGCGCGTGCGCAACCGCCGCGAAGGAGGGCGAGGCTGAGGCTGAGGCGCAAACAGCTGCGACGTGCGATGCGACCGCAAACACGCGTCGCGGCCGCGTTAGCGCTTCGCTCGACGCGCTCGAGAGCAGCCACGGCGGCGGCGGCGGCGGCGGCGGCGGCGGAGGTCGCGGAGATGAGGGTGTAGACAGAGGTGTCGAGGTGCAAGGTAGCAATGCACGTTCGGACAGCAATGGAAGATTACAATTTTTTAATATGTATTTTTGTTTGGTCGGTGGATTATATGTAATTGTTTGTATAAAATGTTTGTAGAATTATAAACTAAACAGAAAAATGTTTGTTTGTTTGTTTGTATGTTCGTTCGTATTTAATGCGCTGCCGTACCTTTCATCCGATTGCCATGAAACTTTTTCAACATATTACTTGCGTTTGTGGAAAGAATATAGGCATAATACGATGGGAATGCGCACATGTCTGCGTATATAGACGCGCGTTGATGATGACTTTATGCTGACTCAAGCGCCCCTGAACAGGGTGCTATAAGCAATGGAACTCCACGCAACCAGTTGCACTATGAAGTGCGATTATTAAGACGTCTTCATTGCGTATTCTGCTCATGCGATTGTAAAATGTCTCCCGGGAGAGAGCGAGAGAAAGAGAAAGAGAGACAGACAGACGAAGAGGAAGAAACAGAGACACAGAGAAAGAGACAAAGGGAGACAGAGATGAGGA